TGCTGCTGCTTCTTTTAGCTTAGTGCTGTTTGAGTGGTTTCTTATTGGTTTTCTTGAGAAAACTTGAGTTCCTTTTCTAACAATTTTGTGTCAGAGTGATCGTCGGGAAGAGTGGATGATTTAAACTTGTTTTGTCTGGTACTGCACTTGCCTAGTAACTTTAAATCTTATATTAAGACTATACAACAAGATTTTTTCATCTTTTTCTATAATGTTCATTTCTGTAATTCTTAAAAATATAATTTCTTCTTCTTCTGCTCAGCCTAGCAGGTTTTCTAGTTTTCAGCCTCTAGTTTTAAGTCCATTAATATTGTGATCTGCAATTTTTATTACTTTTTTTTTTTTTTTCTATTTTTTTTTAAGTATATATATCTTATTTCTGTATTTTTTGCTTTTTCTTTTCTTTTTTTTTCTTTACTTCTTTTGATTAAAAAATTTTTCTTTATTTCTTTCTTCAAAAGTCCTTCTCTCACTGTGCAGAAAATCTTTGATCTTCTCATCTATATTCATAAGTTCAACTAAGGTGCCTTTAGAAGTAATTAGCTAGGCTTTCTTTAGCTATACTTCTTGTCTCTTCTAGTTTTTTTAATTATTTCTAAATTTGTTCTAAGATGTTCTCTATGTGTGGTTCTCTTTTTTTGTTTATGTATCTTGAATTCTTCTGATTTTTTCTTAAAGTTTTTTACTTCTTCTTCTCTTATTTTTGTATCTTTTACTTGGTTTTCTTTATTTTAACTTTGAGACCTGCTTATTTTATTTAGTAAAATATTCTTTTGGCTTACACTATTTTTGTTTTTGTACTTTTTTACATAGACCCTATTTCTTTGTCTTTCTCTGCTACTTCTATTTTCTTTTGTATTTAAAGTCTGGCTGTGTCTATTCTAGCTTCTTTCTTTCTCTATTTCAAGACTTTCTTTTTTTTTTGTCTTTCTTTTCTCTTTATTTACCTAATAAACTTGAAAATTGTTATATATAATCAGTTTTGTTTAGATAGCTCTTATGTCTCTTTCTGTTGCAAACATGATTATTGCTATTCTTTTTTGATTTTCATTTCTATTTGATAGGGTGTAAACTGTTTAACCTCTTTGTTCTTTAAACTTTATAATAGTAGAACTTTTGAAGCACTTTCTAGTAATTTTGTCAGTTTTGTTGTATATTTTTTTTGTCTTTTTCTTGCTTTATGGTCTTCTATTTCTTTAGTTACTCATATCAGTTTATTATTGTTTACTAGTATAGCCTATAGAATATCTTCATATGTTTTCTTTATCTTGACTACTGCTAAGGTTTTATATTTGGATTTCTTAATTCTTATTATATTGGTTTTTCTAAATCTTCTACAGATATATTTTAATTTTTTTTTGTTTATATTTGCAGGTAAGTTCCAAATTATTAAATAACTTGTGTTTTCTGATTTTTCATTTGTTTCATATTGGTTTTTGTTTGTCTTAATTTTATTTTCTTTTTATTTAAGTTCTTCTTTAGTTCTTAATTTGCTACTGTTTCTCTTTTAACTTTTTTTCTTATGTTGCATCTGTCTCTTTATAGTGCTTTCTTTTTCTCTTGGTATCATTCTATACCAGTCACTCTCCTTTTTGCTGATTCTTTGTATTGCTTCATTTTTGTTATACTTATAGTCAAAGTTAACTTCTACCTATAGGTTTCTTCTTTTAAAGTTTTTTTTAACATCTTTGACATGTATATTATTTCTTAAAGACCATCTAATAAATTTCATATGTTCTTTTTTTGTTTTTCTTAATACATTATGTACTGGTATATTCATGAGTAGACTGTTATTTTGGCTACAATTTCTCTTGCTTGAAACTTATATGCTCTTTTCAAGAGGTTCTCCTACTATGTTAATTTTTTTTTAAATTTTAGTTCAATGTTTTTTTGTTCTTGCTTCTCTTTTTGTTTTTCTGTATTTCTTTTTTAGCTAGACAAATTTTTTTTTCTTGATTATTGTTTATCTAACTTATCTTTATGCTTACTTCTTTCTGTGCATTTTTTGCATTGTTTTGTACTTCTTTTTAAAATTCTTTTCTGTAGCATCTTATATGCTTCTTCTTGTTTTTGGTTCAAGTTTGTTAACTGTTGTTAAATCTCTTTTTTCTTGTCTTGTGTATGTCTTGTTATAAATTCTTGTATTATACTATTTTTGTTTTGTTTAATGATATTGATTCTCTTTTCTGACTGCTCATCTTTTGTTTTTTTAATTATTTCTCTAGTAATTAGTAACAAAGCAACCTTTAATGCATCTTGTTCTGTTAGCAGAGCCATGATTTCATCTTCTCTGTCTAGTGTCACAAATATTTTACTAGCTTGATTAAAAAACACCTTGTTGTATATATTATTTACTGCCCAATATGCTCTTCTAATATATATTGATATTAGACTTTTTTTTAATTTTGTATGCTACTTATATTTAGCCTAATTATTAGAGTTCTGCAATTTGATTTGATTTGATTTGATTTGATCAAATATTTGTGTTCAAATCAAATTCAAATCTGAAATTTTCAAATCAAATCAAATTCAAATATAGTTAAATTTGATTTAATTTAACAAATATTTAATTTAATTTAAAAATTTATAATTGAATATTCAAAATTATAAGCTATTTACTTAAAATTTTATTAGGACAATTAACTTTTTTATTCTATAAAACTAGAGGTAATTTGTTTAAACAAACACTTTTACTTAAGAGCTTAAGATCAATTAACATAGTAAAATTTTTGTAAATCAAGTTTTTTCTTTATCAATCAAAAATTTTAAATTTTTTTAAAAATCAAATATTTGAATCAAATATTTGAATTTGATTTAATCAAATCAAATCAAATCAAAAAAATATTTAATTTGATCAAATTTAAATCAATCCAATATTTGATTTGATTTGGTTTTGAGAAACCTTACTAATTATTATTGGTTCTTATTTGTTGCTTGTTGTTCTAAAGCATTCTATACTTTATGTCTAATACTATTTAAATTGGACTTATTTGCACATCTTTTACTACACATGTTTGTTTTGTTTATCTATTCATATATTGCTATAATCTACAGATCTGCATTTCCAAGTTACAGAAATTCTCCAAAATTTTGTTTTCCAAAATATCGACTAAGATGTTTTTCTTTTTATCTTCTTTACTAAGTCTTCTAATTTTTTGCTTTTTTTCTTGTTATACCTTCTTTACAAGTTTTATTCTTTTTGTTAGAACTGTAAAATTAGTTTCAATAATCATTTTTTGGTAAACTTCTAAAATGCTTTTCTACAATTTTGTATACAAGTGATCAGCCAATTGCATTATTTTTAAAATAAAATTGAATTTATAAATTAAATAATTACAAAAGCTAAAATTTAAAAGTAAGAGGCATATAGATTATTTTTATATAGTTATATATCATCAATTATATTAAAAACATTAACGTCCCGTGATGGTGATGTTTAGATTACCCATATATATAAAATAATAAGTCAATGCTTTTTAATAGTGTTTACATATCATTGCTGATGTACATTATAGACATATCAATATAATGTGCATATTACACTAATCTCTGTAATTCGTACTATATCATATGCATTTTTTACACATTAGATAGTTGTGCAATATTACCTTTTAATACATTTCATGCACCTTTTTATATTTCTAATTTTATTTTTTATCACACCAATACATACAAGTAGACTAATCAATTACTTTCTGCTATGTTCTTACTTTTTTTTGCGCATATTTATATATAAACAGCATATAATAATTTTGTTACATAATAATAACAGCACGCTATCAGATATATATCAAATATATATATATGATTTTTTATACTAATAAATATCTAAACTATGAAAGAAAGCATTAAAGACTACAAAAAAAGGCTTCATTATGAACAGCAACAATACTACAGAAATAAAAAAAAAAAACTTATCTCTAACAACAGAGAAGAACTTATAACCAATCATCAAATTGGAGAAACAAGCTATGCAGCTACTCTACAAGTTGAACTAAGCCAAGAACTTGAAGCTAACGTAAGCAGTATACAGACAGAAGAGAGGCTAAGTAATACTAATAAAGATAATAATAATATTCTAATTTCTTTAGCTTTGAATCTTGATTTTAGGCCTATCCAAGATGATTTAACTATTGTTTCTACTGCCTTAGTTGCTAATATTTCTTTAGTTACAGCTCAACTACAACAATTAAAAGCACATGTTCATTCATAGTCTTCAGTTGGTTTAAGTTGTTACACTCTAGGAAATATGGAGCATAAATGTCATCATTGTAGAGCTCTTATATAAATAAATAAACAAAAGGCTGGGACATTGATATGTTCCCCAACTTTTACAACTTGCTATATAGAAGAAAAAATTTAACTCCCTCCTTTTCTTAACCTACCTTCACCTTTAAATACACTTCTTACTAGAATAGATTCTGAAGTACATTTATTTAGACAGAATATTAGAATGTATAATTCTGCATTAGCTTTTATGTTTATAGGTGTGACAATTGATCATAGTGTAACAGGAACAAGTAGCGTTTATAGCTTCTGCATCCATGATGAAATGTATTATAGCATAGGTTTTTTATTTCCTGAAGAAAATAATAGCAACAATCAACCTAAATTTGCACAAATCTATATATATGATACTGAGCATGAATTGCAAAATAGGATGAATGTAATGTCCAGACTTGATCCTCAAATTCTTGCTGCCCTTTAGCAAATGTTATATGATATTAATCCCTATTGCAGAATATTTAACCAAGCTACTAATATATTAAATTCAAATTCAATATTTAACTTTAGGATGGTAATCACTGACAGTAGATCCAAAGACTCTAGGCATTATAATACTCCAACTACTTCAGAAGTTGCAATAATTATGGTTGGTAATGGCAATGAACCTGAGCTCTAACAATGTGATATTGTTTTGCATTTATGTGATAGAGGAATTAAAAGGATATCTGAGCTTCATCATGCTTATGAATCATTGCACTATGTCCTTATGTTTCCAAGAGGTGAAGATGGTTGGCATTTATATATACCTACTACTGATATGTCTTTTTCTATATCACTACCTAGCAATTCTGAACCCGAACTCCTGATAATAGATGAAGAAGAAGGAATATGTATAATAAAATATATTACTGCTATGAAATATTATGCATATCATCTTTACCTTGGCTGTCCAAATAAACTAATAGTTATATATTTATTTGGTCGACTATTTCAACAGTGGGTTGTTGATATGTATGCTATTGTAAAACAGATGTGTCTTAATTACCTGTGATTTAATCAATCACAAATACGCTCAGAATTATATAGTGGCTTACAAGACACAATGCAGGCAAGAGACAGTATAACTACCATGTCAAATGTAGGCCAACATGTCATTTTACCTTCAAGTTTTACTGGAGGGCCCCGTCAAATGCATAAACTTTATCAGGATGCAATGGCTATTATGTGAGTACTTGGAAAACCTAATCTTTTTATCACAATAACTTGCAATCCACAATGGCCAGAAATTACTAATGCTCTTCTTTTAGGTCAAACTTCACAAGACAGACCTGATTTAATAGCTTGTGTTTTTAACTTAAAATTAAAGACCTTATTCAAAGTAATTTTAAAAGAAGAAATTTTAGGAAAAATTATCACTTATATTTATACTATAGAATTCCAGAAACGTGGATTACCTCATGTGCATTGTCTTTTTATTCTTGATCCTGCTTATAAGCCCAACTCAATTGTTAATTATGATCCCATTGTATCAGCTGAGATTCCAGATGCAAATATTGATCTTTATATCTTTAAAACTATAAAATGTTCTATGATGCATGATCCATATAGTGCTTTAATGCCTAATGCTCTTTGCATGAAAAATAGACATTGCTCAAAAGGATATTCCAAACTCTTTTAAGAAAAAACTGTCATTAATAATGACAGTTATCCTGTCTATATGCAAAGAGACAATGATAGAACTGTAGAAGTTCGTGGAGCATTGTTAGATAACTGTTGGGTAGTTCCATATAACCCTTACCTTTCAGCTAAGTATAATTGTCATATAAATGTTGAAATTTGTTTATCAATTATCACATTTATAAAGGACATGATTATGCTACTATAGAACTCAGAAGACCAGCCAATGAGCATGAACAACATGTGAATATTGATGAAATAAATCTCTATCTTGATGCTCAATATGTTTCTGTATCAGAAGCTTCTTGGAGATTATTTTATTACAAGTTGCATAATAGAAATCCAGCTATTATGCAACTTCAAATTCACCTTTCTGGAAACATAGAGTTACCTTTGATGCTAATGAAGGCATAGAAACTGTACTACAATGAGCTGAAACTGAAAAATCAACACTCACAGCATGGTTTCAAGCTAATTTGAGATATCCGGAAGCCAGAAATTTTACCTATGCTAATTTTCTAAGAAACTGTGTTTACGAAAAATGAACTAGTAGTTGGAAATCAAGACAACATAGAAACATTATAAGGTGCATGTATTTTGTTCACTCTATAGCTGATGAATGATACTATTTAAGGCTTCTACTTAACATTGTTTGTGGTACAACTTCTTTTCCAAACTTATACATAGTAAATAATATATTATATTCTACTTTCAGAGAAGCCTATGATGCTTTAGGTTTATTACAAAATAATGATAAATGGGATCAATGCTTAAGTGAATCTGCATTTATACAATCTGAGTCTCAACTACATTATTTGTTCGCTACTCTTCTCTTATTTTGTAACCTTATTCATCTTGAGGCTTTATGGGAAAAATATTTTACTTCACTTAGCGATGACATTAGATTACAATTTTCTGATATTAGTAACTCTAATACTAATTTGCAAAATCAAGCTTTATTCTACTTACAGTTTATTTTAAATAAGCACAGCAGATCTCTTCAAGAGTTTCCAAATATGTCTATACCACATATTATATCTGATTCTGACCAAAGTATACAGCTACTTGCTGAAGAAAAAGACTATAATATCAAAGACCTCATTCATACTATCGAAACTAGAATTCCTCTGTTAAATACTGATCAAAAAGCGATTTTTTCCAAAGTGATATCGGCTATTGACATTTGTACACCTACAGTATTATTTGTTGATGATCCAAGTAAAACAGGAAAAACATTCCTTTATAAGTATGAGTTTATTTTTCTATTTCATTATTTTACTCTTTTTTGCTCTTCTTACCTATTTATCCAAATTTAGCATAATACTTGCAAAAGTTCATTTAAGTGGTCATATTGCTCTTGCTGTAGCTTCTTTAGGCATTGCATCACTTCTTTTACCAAGAGGTCATACTGCACATTCTAGATTCAAGATTCCAATCAATTTACATGACTCTTCGACTTGCTCCATATCTCATAGCTCTCCTCTAGCTACCCTTCTACAACATGCCTAACTTTTAATATAGGATGAAGCTCCAATAGCATATAGAAATGCTCCAGAAGCTTTAAATCGAATCTTACAAGATCTTATGAAAGCTATAGATCCTTTTTTTGAACATTTGCCTTTTGAAGGTAAAGTTGTTATATTTGGAGGTGATTTTCATCAAATCTTTCCTATTGTAGTAAAAGGTAGCTGTGAAGATATTGTAGGATCCTGCTTAAAACACTCACCTCTTTGGACTAATATCGATGTTATGTTCTTGAAAACTAATATGTGCCTTTTAAATTCTACTAATACTTCTAATATTTTTGAGAAAACTGAGTTCACCGAATGGCTTCTTAAAATTGGTGAAGGTCTTATCCCTACAATTGACAACCAAAGTGATACTATTCAACTTCCAAGAAATATAGTCCTACAGTTCAAAACTTTAACTGACCTAATCAATACAATTTATCCTGAGCTTTCTCCCTGAACTAATCCTTAATATTTGGTTGAGCATACAATCCTTACTCCTAAAAATGACGATGTTAATACTATTAACTCTACAATTATGTCTTATTTTCCAGAAGAACTGATTCAATATCTTAGCACTAATACAATTGAGAAGCAAAATGACAATATGCACATATATCCTGTTGAATTTCTTAACTCCTTAACAATCACAAATCTTCCTTCTCATAAGTTAATATTAAAACCTGGTGTACCTATTATATTATTACGAAATTTACATTTTGCTACCAGTCTTTGTAATAGAACTAGATTAGTTTGTCGCTCTTTTCAAAAACATATTATTGATGCTGAAATTTTTACTGAAAAGCATTCTGAAACTCATGTATTTATTTCTCGAATTACTATGATTCCTTCTAATATTGATTTGTCTTTTATATTTAAATGTCGTCAGTTCTCTGTGCAGCCTGCTTTTGCTATGACTATTAACAAATTGCAAGGCCAAACTTTAAATTTTGTAGGTTTGTATCTTCAAACATCTGTATTCTCATATGGCCAACTTTACGTTGCCTGTTCTCACATTACCTCTTGCAAAAATTTGAAGATCCTTATTTCTCATTATCAAAATGAAACTGAAGATAATTGTTGCAGTACTTTAAATGTTGTTTATAGAGAAATCTTTTACTAATATCCTTTTAGCAACTTACATTCTATATTATATCACATTTACATCTTTACTACCTTCTTTATATTAGCATTTTTTCAATTTCTTCACAATTCCTTTATAGAGTGCCTACTATTTTTTTAATTTTGCATATTTATTTTTTATTACCCTTCAATTTTTTTTATGCTTATTAAAACACTTTTATCTTTTTTCTCTATTTTAAATATAATTTTTAATTTATTCTATTATTTACATTACATTTACATTATTTACGTTTGCTATTTCTATTTATTCTTATTATATTACAATATATCTTTCTACTATTCATAGTTTTACTAAATACTTATATAGTTTATTGATTTAATTTTCATATTATTATTCCTTTATATTGTGTTTTATATATTTAATAAATTCAATAAAATCAGTTACAAACTAATCTTTTAAAGTTTAAGAAAATTTTAAAATCGCTTTACATAACCTTTCCTTAGATATGTTATACAACTATGAACTTCTAACATTATTTACAATTTTACACTACTTTTAACTCTATCTCATTATTCCATACTTATAATAAGTTAGCATACATTCCTATTAATTGTTCCTCTTTTTATTTATTACCTTTACTCCTATATATGCTGAGTTGCCTCTTATTTTTAGCCTCAATTTATTTATCTTATTTTAGCGTTATATTCTTATCTATTATATGCAATCCTTTATTCATTTCTCTATTTGATTACAATCTAAATTTACAACTTTAACCTATTACATACTATTCACAGACCTTCTCCAAATCTTATGATCACCATTTTATAAATATTTTTAATTTTTTTTTTTTTTTTTTTAAATATTAACGATAAGGCCATGCCTTTAACTTTATTGAAATTCAATTGAAGTTTTTACAAAG